AACCATCAAGTCAAATATATATATATATATATATATATATAATAAATAAATCTTTATTAAACCATCAAGTCAAATATATATATATATATATATATATATAATAAATAAATCTTTATTAAACCATCAAGTCAAATTAAACTTGGAGATACCAGAAATTTTGGAAAGAAGGTTAGAAAAGATTCTGATATAAGCCTAATATAATAATAATTGAATTTTTGGAAAAGCCCACTGGCCCTTTCCAAATCAGAAGCTATAACTGAAGGCCAGCTTCAGCTTTGTGCTGTGCTTGTGAAGTGTTCTTTATCACTGGTGTAATAACTTCATGCTCTGTACATGGGTTTAAAAGAGGGATGCTTATTACAATTTAAATCATTAGTACAATTCAAGTATCTTAACCTTCAATTGGGACTCTGAATACTATAAATTAGTTGTCATTTTTTTTCCTCTTGGTGAATATATAAAATAGTCCTGTGTTGTAGGTTCGTGAGAAGGGATTGCTTTACTTTTACAGCACTGCCATCTAGTGGTCATAGTGTACCTAACTTTTTTTATTTTTAATGAACAAAATATTGTGTTCTTGCTTGGTAAAATGTGTAAAGGAGATTGATTTCTCGTAAACGTACGTTTATTACAGTACTTATAAGCCAACAGTGTTTGCATAAATTCAAATGTCATCACTGTGTTTCTAGTTTCCATAAGCAGATCTCAAAAGCTTATTGTAAAATAAAATGATTTTAAATTATTTAAATCCAGATAGGCTTCTACTTACTTACATGGATACTTCTTCTATATCTCTTGCTGCTTTTTGAATGCCCACTCTAAACAGGATTTTTGTTGTTGTTTTTTCCAAAATATACAAAAAGACATTTTTGGTTAGTCAGGATTAATGAAATGTTTTATGTTTTGCAAATGCCAGAATGAACATAAAGAAACATTTTGGACACCTTTTTTTTAATGCAAATCCCTCTTGAATGAATCTTGCATAAATGGATGGGTAGATGAGGTGTTATGAGGGTTAAAGGCCTTGCAGAGTTGAAGTCTCTGAATGTGCAAAAGAAGTACGCCCCTCTGAACCTAAAACAGACTGTCGCTTCTAAACATCTGTGTACCTGTTAACTTTAGCAGTTTTGTGCAGAAACATTCTTAGACAGAAATATCTGTGGCCAATTGTTGGCTTTACACTGTCACTGCCTGAATACGAAAGTCATCATTCATCTGCAGCAAAAGCATCGACTTGCAGACATTCTAGGAGTCCTTCCCCTATCTACTCTAATATTGTTTTGTTTGAAATTTTGAAATGTTCTGTGTTTTGCAAATGCCCAAAATGGACATTAAGAAAATTTTTGGAGACTTTCTTGAAATTCTGAAATTTACACAAAATTTTGTAGAACTACTTTCTACAAAAATGAAAGATACTTTTTCCTCAGTGTGTTAGTAAAGTTTGATTTAGTTTAACCTTTTCCATTATGCATTTGAAAAATTACTTCTTCTCTTCATGTCCTTTTACCCTGTCGTTTGTTTGTTTGTCTCTTGGGTTCACACACGTTATGCACAGTAGAAGTACATTTTTGGAGACATGGGAAAATTTGAAATCCTCATCTTCAAGGAAAGTATCAGAATCATAGGGAAATTATTTTTGTTACATGCTCCAGGTATACAAACATTTATATATAACTCTGTATATATATATGTATATGCATATGTATAACTATAACTATAAATCCAAATAAAGTGATAATGCTATAGAAATTAAATATCCTACTTTATTAGGAGGAAACCTAAATTCAGGTTTATAAACTATAATGGTAAACCACCTTTGTTATGATTTTTTTACCATTTTACTGCTCATTAATATACTCCTCAGGTAAATAACCTGTAGAATAGGAAATTTAAGAAAAAAAAGCTTGGTCTATCTTTTCCTTTCTTTTTTTTCTGAGCTGGTTTTCATACATTGAAAATGAAAAGAAAAAGACTGGAAAAGGTGAAAATGTCTGTGATTGGAAAAAAAGATAAGTAACTTGCATTTCAAAATTACCTGTTCTTGCGGATTTTGTTTTTTATTTTGATAGTTAGCTTGTGATAAGTGAGTCTAAATACCACAACATGCATGGACCATCAGGTTCCCCCGTCATATAGGTTCATCATTACTATAGGAAATTCTAAATTATTACCGGTACTATATTGCTTTGTGTCCTTATTTTTCCTTTAAGGAGAAAATTGAAAACAACTTCTCATGTCCTTGGTTGACTTTTTATTGTATTTATTCACATTTCAAAATGATCTATAAGCAGAGAAGACTACAAGTTAGTAAAAAGGATTTGTTTTTTCTTCTGTTTTGTTTTTTCCCAAATATTAATCATTGTGTCTTCATGCAAACATACAGGTAATTCTACAGTTTCAAAGTACAAAAAAAATTCATACATTACCAGCCATTTAATGTAAAAAAAGACCCAGTGTTATCTTTGGAGCATGACATCATTGTGCACTTTTAACTTGTTTTGGCATTGGATCATGAAGGTGTGCAGATATGAGGGGATGTAGAGGGGGTCACAAAGGGGATATATATATGCCTCCGCTAAGGGAGAAGTACTTGTCCAATTATAATCTTGACAAAAAACACTTTGAATGCTACATAAATGGCACAAATTTATGCAGCATGAAGACTGGGAATTGATGCTCAAATCACTACAACTGCTTTACAGGCACATTATTTTATGAGTATGTGGAGTTTGTGGATATGGAACATGAAACACACAGAACATAACATATTAATGTCTTGAAAAAAAGAAAAGAGAAATGTGATGTTTACAGATGTCTCAGAAAAATACATCCACTTTCTACAATCAAGAATGCACATTTACAGATAAAGCAAACAGTTGTACAGCATGGAGAAAAAAAACCCATATGAATTAAACAATTTTGCTAGATTGAGGGTGAACATTTGTTTTCACTTTAAATTAAAACCCTTGTTATTGATAAAGGTAAATGTACCACTTAACTCAAAAAGATTTACTTGCAAGGATTGTATTAGATTTAATAGTTTTGTTAGAATCTTTCTTAACCCTATAAATCATATTTCTTCCAACAATTCTAATATCTGAAATCAGTTGCTTTAATGGTGATGTATTTAATCAAAATTGTTTTTGGCATGTTGAAGAGATGCTCTGAAACCTATGCATTTTATAGTGTGTCTTTTTTACTGTCCTGATAAATAACAATGTGTATGTGAGGTTAAGATAAAATGTGATTTCCCAGGTCAAGGATGCCTGTTTTCATTGATGAGCACGGTTTCTTTTATTGTCTCATCCACAACAATAGTTTGTGCTGATGCTGCATGATCTTTATCGCCTGTACGCCTATTTGTACAGCACGCAAAAAGAGGAGTTAGCCTGAGGTCACTACGGCAGTCCCCTCTCTGATTGGTTCAAATGAGCCCTGCTCTCTCTTCCACGGAGGGCTGATTACACAGTACACTGTTTCATTAAAAGCTACATATCTAAAATAAAAATATGCAAATCACAATGAAAAAAACATTCAACATCTGTTCTTATTTTTTTTTTTTAATAATTTTTATTCTTAAAGACTATGCTCCGGCTTTACCGTCTAGCACATAAACACAAAAAGGAGAGAAATGCTCTGTAACTGATGCAAATCCCTCTTCTCTTGAAAGAATCTTGCATAAATGGATGAGTAGATGAGGTGTTATGAGGGTTAAAGGCCTTGCAGAGTTGAAGTCTCTGAATGTGCAAAAGAAGTACGCCCCTCTGAACCTAAAACAGACTGTTGCTTCTAAACATCTGTGTACCTGTTAACTTTGCCAGCAGTTGTGTTCTGTGCAGAAACATTCTTAGACAGAAATGTCTGTGGCCACTAGTTAGCTTTTCACTGTCACTGCCTGAATACGAAAGTCATCGTCCATCTGCAGCAAAAGCATCGACTTGCAGACATTCTAGGAGTCCTTCCCCTATCTACTCTACTCTTGTATACAAGTGCCTATTTCTCCATTATACATAGCTACAACTCTTTCAATAGAAAAGATGTCTAAAAACTGAAAATAAGATTTTCATTAAGTAAAAACATCTCCTGTTTTTAAAATAAGTACACACTAAGTAAAAAAGTCCCCTCTTTAAGCCCTACTTTTATATTCCATTTTACCTCAAACACTCTGAACCGTTTTAATTGCTTTGTTTATTTTTATTTATTTATATTTTTTTTTTGCTTTCTGCAGAAGCTTTTTTCTCTATCCCTGTCCATATTCTTTTTCATCAACTTTTTCATCTACCTGCACTGCTTTGAATTCATTGCATATGTTCTCTCTGATGTTGAATTTGTAAAAGCATGACTCTGCTTTCTCTTACAGGTTCATATGGTGAGATCATCTGACCTGGCCCTGCTGCTTGCTTTGCTCAGTCGACTCAGAGGTCTGGTATCTTCTATCGTATCCGTCGCCTCCACCTCTGGCTCGGCAGGGGTTACCACCTCTGTGTTCACAGCTTCCTCTATCTCCACATCCTCATCTAGACCTTCCTCTATTCTCTCTGCTTCCACCTCTGGTGGCGGCACCTCCTCAGCTTGCTCTTCTTGTAACGTCAACGTCACTCCCCCTGTCTCAGTTGTTTGGCTGTAGGAAGGCAGAGTCTCATCATACACCTTAGAGATGTCCTCCATGGGCAGCACTTCCTCCACCTTCACTTCCTGGAAGGGTGGGGTCCCTCTGCCAGCCTCCATCCCAACTTCAGCAAGAGGGTAGAGATGAGAGCAAGGTGGAACTTTTTCCTCCTCTAGCAATTTGTAACCTTTTGCTCTCTGCAAAGAGGAAACAGCCAGCGGGGGCAGACCTTTTCCTTGTGGCGGCATCGGGGTGGTACTGTCACCTTGGGCTGGGGCTGGAGCTGGCTTACGAAAGACAAAGCGAATTTTCTTCAGACCCAAGTGACTAATTTCCACAAAGTTGAGAAATAGCGAGACACAGGCCACAGCCAACATAAAGATGATGAAGACAGTCTTCTCTGTTGGGCGAGACACAAAGCAGTCCACTGTGTTTGGGCAGGGCCAGCGGCTGCACTTGTACAGTGGTAGGATGCGAAAGCCATAAAGAAAGTACTGGCCTACCACAAAACCCACTTCAAATAGTGTCTTGAAGATTATGTGGCATATGTAGGTTCTCAGCAGGGTGCCTTCAAGGCGAAACTTCTTGCTTCCTTTGGTGCTGGTCTCTTTGGTTGTTCGGACACTTCCCTGGTCAGGTGCCAGAGGTAGACGCTCCTCGCTCAGTTCCTGTTGCCGACTAAGCTCTGCCTCCTCTCGTTCCTTACGTTTCTCCTCCATGTGGACATGGTGCACAGCGTGGCCAACATACACCAGAGACGGCGTGGACACAAAAATAATCTGCAGAACCCACAGGCGGATGTGGGAGATTGGGAAGGCCTCATCATAGCACACATTCTCGCATCCAGGCTGCTGTGTGTTGCAAACATAGTCGGACTGCTCGTCACCCCACACGAATTCTGCTGCCGTGCCCAAGATGAGGATACGGAAGATGAAGAGCACCGTGAGCCACACCCGGCCGATCACCGTAGAGTGCTCGTTGACTTCCTCTAAAATATTACCCAGAAAACTCCAGTCACCCATGATCGGTCCGTAGCACTGCAAAATGAAGGGTGGGGTAGGGAGGGACACTGAGGGTGCAGTCGCATAGGGAGGGTGGGGTAGGGAGGACCCACAGTGGGAGTGGGAAAGAGAGGGCCAAAAGTAAGCAATGCTTTAGAAGAAAATTCAGACTTTGAAATTCTTGAACATCAAACCTTAGCTGCTAACTTAAAGGACATGCTTTTCAGTTAAAAACTTCAAATACTGAAAAATGACAAGTTTAAACTTTTTCTCGAGAACTTGCAGTTTCTATTCCAAATAAGGATTCGAAAATATCAAGAAATTATCTGAAGCAATTTAAAGATTAATCATTGCTGATCTGCTTAATCTCTCTGTAGGCAATTAAAACTCTTTGAAGAAACGAATAAGCATTGCTTTCTATAGATCTGAAAAATTACAATTCACTCTTCCAGTAAAAGCAGTCTAGGATCGACAGATTAGTAAGTATCATAAAGACCCCTCCTGTCTAATGTATCATAAAGGATAAAATGCAATAAAATGGGCAACTTGCCACAGCTGCGGCTCCCGCAAAGTTGAGTCCTGTCCCGTTCTCTTGGCACCCGGCAGGGGAAAGTGAACTTTTTTCTGCCCTCTTTCCCACCTAAAGCCCTGTCCTTGTCGCCCCACTGAGCAGATGTGAATGAATCGAGTCTGATGGTTGGTTTTTAGTTTGCTGCAATATTTAAGCTTGGAGCCAGACGGCCTTTATTTGCTGGGCGACGTGTGGGTGACGCAAAAGACAATAGGATCAACAAAGCCAGGGCAGGGATGTATGGAAGCAGGCCTCAAGCTCCTGCACCAACACGGACACTGTCGGGGCATTGAGTCCACAGCAGCGCAGTCAAACTCCTACTTTCTTACCCATCCATGTTCCATCTATGGAAATATGGGCGAGGTGGATGCAGTTTGAACCGCTGCCTCCAGCTGATGCCATTAGAGGCAGGTCAGTAATAAACCATAAGACCAGGCAAGGATAAAGGAGAACCTTGTGGATTAGTAAAAAAACACAGTGATTCTTTGGGGACAGAATATGTGTGGATTAATTGCAATGTGTCTGAGTCTCAAAACACAACAATATCTAACTTTTGTTTTAGGATATTTTTTTATCTGATTTTATTTGCCTGTTTTGTTTTTTTCCCTCTTTTTGTAATTAATGGCCATTGGGCAGCATGTCAGGTATGGATCTTGGGTTTATCTCTTTGTTCCCTGTAACACACAAACTTATTGTGAATCACAACAAATGTGTCAAAAAAAACGGAATAAGCTTGGCTACTTTAAGACTTTTTTTAACTTCCGCTTTTTATAGATTTAGAATATTCTGAATACATGAAAATAGTGTAACACCAACCATCTCTTCTAATCAAATTAAAGCAGAATTATTGGGATTTGCCATTAAACATAAAAGAGTAAGGAGAACATTTTGTATATGGCTGTTTTAATTTTGTTCATAGTCTAACATTTGTTGCTCTAACCTATATTATATTTATTCATTACCCACAGTTGAATTACTAATATGTTTCACTTTAATATTAGCTGGATGTATTTTACAGTGTACGTTTATTCGCATTTGTTTGTCTGTGTTATGTAGTAGAGCATAAAATAACATGAATCAATTCACCAGACTGAAATATTTCCTTGACGAAATGAAAAACACTTTCCTGCCTCAAACGGAAAAAGAGTCTGCAGGAATGATGGTTCAAAGAATTCTTTGGATTCCTGAACAGTGAAAAAAAAACAAACTAAAAAGCATTCATGTAAAATGTTTGAAGTAAGTGACCAAATTTATTATTTAACTAGCAGAAAATAAAGAATATCACAATGACTAATCTTATTTTATCTATGGCTGTTAAAATTACATAATTACATAAAAACTGAGAAAGTTTTTATTTTTTTCAATTTTTACATCTTATTTTCAATAATGCATCTGCTGAAAAAACTATGACAAAGCATGACATGTCTGGAGTAATAAACTACTTTAAAATAGAAAATATATACAAATAAGTTGAGTAGATATTTCCAACCTTTGCAATTTGTGTATTTCTCAAGGAAGTTAAGATAAAGCTTAACAACCTTTCAACAGTATTTAAAAAATTCAGTGTACAGCAATTACACCTAGTCTGTTACATAGAAATACGAAAATAGAATTTTCGGATAAGTGAACACAAGTTTTCCTTACTGTTCTGCAAGCTTTTAATAGCAAAAATTTTCTTTACAAAATAGAATTTGGATATGTATGCATATAAAACTTATATATGCAAATCACTTTAATTCTGTTTAAATGGAGCCTAGGCGGAAGTTCAACTGAAGAAACTCATTGCTTTCCTTCATCCACCTGCGACAGCCAATCAGCTTTGAACCAGACCTCCACAAAAGCCAACCGGCATCCAAAGTTCATCTTAAAAGGCCTCCGATATGCGCCTTTCTGCCCCTGTGCATGGGCGGAGAATGCGCTGTGTGACTTCATTCAGATGACACCATTTCAACCCACCTCCAGCCCCTGCTCCACCATCATAGCTAAAGCTTCATCGGAGTGTCATTCCTACTGGACTCTTACTGTGTTCCTTGTCTCACCTCAACTGGTCTGGCAGAAGACGGCCATGTTGAGCCTGGTTCTGCCAGAGTTTTCTTCCCAACGGGGAGTTTTTCCTCTCCACTGTCGCTCCATGCTTGCTCATCATGGACAGGTTCTTTCAACCTGTGTTATCCAAACTGGACTTCCATCTTCCAGGTCCCTGAGTGCAGCTCTAGTATTAGCTCATGCAGTCCAATGAATCTCCCCATAAAGCTCAGCATACCGTCTCGCTAACCAGCAGTCTACAGACTGACCAGCCCTGTTCTTTACTCCTGTTCATGCATATCTATCAAAATTAAGCACTATGTTTCCTGCCAACGTTTGAGTGCCAAAGACCAAGTAATTGTATCAATACATTTCTCCTAATTGTCTTCTCTCTTTGTGTGAGTTTTTCAGATTTAAATGGCTTTAAACATAAAACTTTGACTGGATCTTCTCTATATCTTACATCTACTGTTAAGAAAAATTTCAAATGTTTCATATCCTGCTTTCTAAGACTTTGTAAGATTTCATTTGTAATGAAATATTATTTTTAGTCTGGTGCTATTTTCTCCAACCTCAGGTTGCTTCCTTTGTGGCTGCTGCCCATTTCCTGACATCCGTGTATCAGGCCACTTATGGCGATAAGGTACCTCTTTAAAAAGGATGAAAAAAGTTTGAAATTAGACTTAGACAAGTTTATTAATCCCCCCAAGGGGTATTTGTTTGAGCAGTACAGGAGACAATAAATAAATAAATAAATAAATAAATAAATAAATAAATAAATAAATAAATAAATAAATAAACAAATAAATAAATAATAAACATGCCATAATGTAAAAATAAGATTAAATTAAAATTATTAAAAAGAAAACTGTGACAGAGAGCTTGAGAACTAAAATTAATAATAATAAAAACAGAAAGATAGTAAAAAGATAACACAGTTATTTTCTTTAGCATACAACAGCCATCCTATACAGAGTTTAAAAGTCGAATAGCTGTTGGTATAAAATAATTTGCATGGTGGTTTTTAATACAGGGAGGCATCGCAAAGGCAACAAAGAGAATACATTTTTAAGAACATGTTCTGGCGAAGAGAAGATCACTTTGGTTTTATTGCAATTGTTGTTCATTAAAAGAGGAAGACAAGTCCCTCCTGTTCACTCCTATGATTTTGGAATAGATTTTAACGACATGATTTAATGACAATATTTGTGACAAAGATCTTTGCTAAAAAAAAGATGCTAAAAGAGCCTCATCTCAACTTTGAGTGGGAATGATGCCTTTCTATCACTACTGGCTTATTAGAGGGGTGGATGGTTTTTTTTCTTGGGGCAATCAGGCCTAACCCTAGCATTGTTACATAGTTAAAAGCTCATAACAATGATTTTGACAGCTATGTGCCCTTTAAATTAAACCTAGCAGTCAACCTATCAGTGAACTGATTCCAATTCTCTGGATTTTATGTATGGTTCTTATTATGTTCTGTTTTTGAAACTGCTAGGCATCGTTAAGTTCACTTGCAATGCAGTATGTTTCTTCAAGGTATAGAGGATTTTCACAAATCCTCACCCTCAACCCACCCTCTCCACTTAATACACATGCAAAACCCTGTACCCTCTCCCAAGAAGGAAGGCCTATTAAAAACGTGCAAGAGCATGCGTGAGCCTATTTCTCCTCGTGCACGCTCTGTTTAAAAGTTGCTGTTTGCATTGTTCTTAGAAGCTTACTTTCCATATTAAGATTTGCAATTTTTTCAGTGTCAGACTCAATGCTGGTAAGTAAAAATGGAGATGAGCAGCACATAGAACGGCCTTACATAAACATATCACCAGAATGACAATTAGGATATTTTGATGATCCCCCCAGAAAAAGGACGACCTCCACTATACCTTTAACATCACATTCAGGTGATGTGATGTTTTAGTGTCCATAGGGTTGTTGGGTCCAACAATAGGAGGAAAACAGAAGGAATTACACAGACGGCACAAAACAGTTTACATGTTTACATGACCTCTCCCAGACAGCCGGAGTCACAGAGGCAATCTGAGTGATGCCATGGAGGATTATACACATATAAAGAACAGAGTTCTTCCCCTTTACATGCAGCATCCTGCATCACAAACGACATACGCATGAACATTTTGATCTCACCAAAAGACTGCAGGTTTGAAAAGACATTGGATCCAAAATGAGTACAATCTGCTGTTTGTTGCCCAATAATAGTATCTCAAATAAATACAGGAAAAACTGCCTTTAAGAATAGCTGCCTGTAACAGCCTGTGACAAACAAAAAAAAAAATAACAGACAGAATTATATTCACCAAGAAGAGACGGTATCCCACTGAGAGGATGCAACTCAAGGGCCTTCTGTTCATCTGAGCTTCCATACGATTAAATTATTTCCGTATAAAACAATTAAAATCGTGTTTGCATTACTTAACTTCTCCAGTGCGGAGAGGCCTCTGCACCTGATGCTATAAACCCGGGTTCAAATCCGACCTGTGGTCCTTTGCCACATGTCTCTCCCCCTCTCTCATACCCCCTTTCCTTTCAGCCTACTGTCGAAAAAACGAGCCACTAGTGCCGCAAAAACTCAAAAGAAAAAAAAAAAGAAGTATAAATCCTACTGTTTAAAAACACTTTTTTAGAAGTCAGATTATCAACTTAAGGTCTTTACCCAAGTAAAAGGATAAAGTAAAATATAAAGGAAAATATAAAGGAAAATATTTTAAACACGGATGCTTTACTGCAAAACCCCATTAAAGGGACATTTTTCTACTATTCTGATGATAACTTCCTTATACTTAATTTTCTTAGTTATTTAATAAACTAAAGGTTACAGTGTCAAATTTAACTTTCCGTCCTCTTGAAATACTATTTATTTTGGTATGTGGCAAAAAGTAAAGTAGAAAGTAGAGATAATTGCAAGAAAATGTGAGGACTAGAAGTAAAAAGTTGTCTGAAAAATAGTTACTCCAGTAAAGAATAGAGCCAAAATTTCTACTTAAGTAACGTAATGAAGTATTTCTACTTTGCTGTTTGACATCTCTATGTATTTGGATGTTATTTTTGTTTTTTTTGGTGCAAGTAGGACTGGCAAGTGTTTACATTTTATAGAAAAAAAAAAAAACTATAGGTTGCCTATCTGCAGCTCCCTCTTGAATCAGAAGAAGCTTAACCTGCCTCTTCAGCTTATGCATATTTGAAATGGTAATTCCCACCACCAAGAAGGGACTGCAGCACGAGGACGAAACCATCTGTGAGTGTTTTAGGACGGTGGTTAGTGGATCAACGCCACCACCTGCTCCACAATGTGAGAAATAAGAGTGATCTATGCATCACGTGAGAACAAAAAGAAAAAAAAGCCCAAAAGACACAACAATACAAATTTTTCTATTGGATATTTTTAAATGAGTTGTCAGAGGCGTCTGAAATGCATCAGGTTCAATACCAAATAATAATGAGACATTGCTAATGTCTCCGTCTTCATTCAAAACTATGTGCCTTTGAATTGTTTATTTTAACCTGCTGGCCAATTGAGTCTGTCTTTTGCTCAATGTCCAAGAGCATGCTTGCACACAGGTTTTAATGAATGAAATCACAATCTTATCTTCACACTTTAAAATCTAAAAGAACAAAACAACTAGATCCCCTCAGTAAAGCAATGAGATTGTTTATTGTGTAAGACTTTCACACGTTGTATGTATTCTAAAAGTTCATTCAGACAAAGTTAGTGTTTATTTGTTATATAAACCGGTAAAAATCTGCACTCAAGCCAAATCTCTGGTGGATTAAATTAAAGGAATCGACAGAACAATTGTTTGGCAGGAACATTTAGAGTTTATTTATATTTCAACAATTCATTTCCTAGAGTTCAGTAAAACTGCAAGGTTTCACAACAGTTTCATCCTCCTGATACCGAAGCAAAGAACATTCAACAATAGAGTTTTCTTACATCTAATAACATAATGACTAGATCTTTATCTGTTTTTTTCCTATTGTAAGATTCTCAATATATGGTTTAAAAATGTCCCATAGCAACAACGTTTAGGGAATTTCAATGTATGAATTTCTCACACTAAATTAAAAAGACAG